TGGGCTAAATATATTTCTTTACATTAGTCCTGTATTTCTTCCTGTTCATTTCCTTTGACGTCCTGTAGCTCCCTGCTATTACTGCTAGCTCATTTTGATTCAACAGTCACGTTGAATCAACATTATGTCCATTTTCTCTCACTGGCCCACTCTGTCTCTCATACTTCTGATTGTATAATGCAGATTTACTTTGCTTTCCTTTGTTTTCGAAATAAGAGTCTAACTATTCTATTTAGTGTTGAAACATTTGAGCCTATGCGGCCTTTTAGACAGTGATGCTAACTAGCAGTGTGGTAGTTTACTTTCAGCCTGGCAAGAGAGGGATGCCTCACCTTCCAGTTTCTGTGTCATCAGAGGGATGCTTCATGCTTCTGTAACACAGAATAACATAATGTGTCCACATTACCTCTTTCCTGGAGTAAATCCATCAGAGATCCTGGCACAAGTCCACCAGAGAAATCTGTTTGCTATTCCAAAATAATATGGATATCTTCCCAGAATTAATTTCAGAGAGCAGAATTGAGCATATTCTTAGATTTTAGAGGGTCATTTTCTCCAGTCTTTTTTTTATGGATAGAACTTAAAGATCTTGTTATAAAAGTCTTCAGAGAAAAGCAATTCTCTGAGAAATCTCACTTCAGAATTATCTCATCTGAATGTTATCTGTTGCCATATGTTTGCTTGGCCTGGATTCCATTCAGTGAGGTACATTCTTCTGAGAGAAACCAAGTTAGGAGCAGGGAGGGTTCCAGTCATCAAATGAAGATGGCCTATGTAAATTCTTATTCAGCTTTTTAAAGCAACACTGAATTGTCTCTTCTTTTATTGCTTTAAAGTCACAAAGAAGGCAACATGATTAAGATCTATAAACATTGAGTGTCTGTTTTTGTGGTGAAAATATTGCCTCCTTCTTTTCCTTAAAGAAAACCCTAAATTCCTTTCCTGCTCACAACCCATTTTCCATCCAGAATACATGTTCTGACTAATTTTCTTATTTTCGAATCATGTTTCATGACTTGTTTGCTTCTCAATCCCTCGTGGGGATTGGACCTTGTTATGAAAATGGAAAATATTAAAAAAAATAGAATGTGGGGCACCATAGTCTCTGACTCTTCGTGTGCATCCACTGTGTAAAGACCATGAAAGAGATGGGGTAGAGAAACATAAACTAGAGCAGTGAATAAATAAACGTGCAAAACCTTCACCTTTACCTGAAAGTGAATTGATGTTGGAAAGATTTAATACCTGCAATGTCACAATTCAATTTATACAACTCATAAAATTGTATTTAATGAGAAATTGGTGGGGTGTAATTTGTTTATTTTTCTTTTCTATGTGTATGTGTTGTGCTTGTATATATGAGTGTGTCTGATGTGTGTCTCTGGTGACTGTGGAGACCAGAAGATGCTGTGAGTTACCTTTGGGTGCTGGGAATAGAACCCTGGTCTTCTGGGAGGGCAGTATATCCTCTCTACTGCTGAGTCATTCATCAGTCCCCTAAAGATTTGTTTGATAGAGAACTTTTGAAGATTTGTGCATAGCAGTACATCATTGAGAAACAATGTTTACAAACACTTATTATTGAAATATCATTGAGGGTGTCTTAGAATAAAAGGCGGTATGCTGTATAAATCATTATGGCCATAACCATACAGCCAACTTAAATGCTATTTATTCTAAGCCCAGTAACTAGTCACTGATGATCAAGAATGAACTAGATTATACTAGATTTAACTGCCTCTTTCTCACTCTGACAAAAAAGAGGTGCTATTAGTATCTAAAGGAGAATTGGGCCTCCTAGATGACTCCAATGTATGTCCCCACCCTTGTGATGCTGTTTGAAGTGTAGACAGCATCCCTGAAAAGAATACATTGACAAAGTGTGTCTAGACATCCCCCCCCAAAATTAAAAATGTCTTTAAGAACAAGACTGAACATTTTCCAGAAACCGATCGAAGCAGATGCAGAAATTCACAACTAAGAATTGGGACAAACTCCTCAACTACAATTGAAATGAACAAAGGAGCCAAGACCATGATGGGGAAACCCACAGAATCAGCCGACCCAAGCTCTTAAGAGATCACTGACTCCAGTCTGGCAAATGGAGGACCTGCATAAGATCAAACTAGACTCCATTAATATAGGTGACAATGCTGCATCTGGGATAATATATGAAGACACTGGACAAACTAACTTAGTGGAACCCATTCTATATGGAGAGATACCTTGCTCAGCCTAGACACAGGGGGGTTTAGGGTGGAGAGGTGCCTTGGTCCTGCCTCAAGGTAATGAACAGATTTAGTAGACTTCCTAGGGGGAGGCCTCACCCTCTCTGAGGAGCAGAAGGAAGGTAGGGAGGAGTAGGGGAAGTGGGAGGAGAGGAGGGAGGAAAAATGGAGATTGGAATGTAAAAAAGAAATTTTAAAAATGTTAAAATTTTAGAAAACGAACAAGACTGAAGTGCAATTGCAGTAGGAATCATGTTTGGTATCTATGTCAATGACTTGTCAAAGACAAACCTGAAGTGAGGTGCTTCCTATGCACCAGTATTCTCATAGTCCTTTGCACTGGTGTATGCTTGTCCTACTCACAATAAATTAAAATGACTCTCCTTACTCCACTCACAGATGGAGAAATGGAGACACGGTGGTATGATTAACACATCCAAGATCACACATAGCCGTGTGGAGGTTTTAATCCAATCAGATGTGGTTGCAGAATCTGCTCTCTTGGCTATGCTTGTAGGTTTCCAGTACTTGCTCCACAGCAGTGAATCTTATGGGAAAATCTGAAGTAGTGGCAACACCATGTGCCACTCCTAACTCTGCTCTTTACTGGAGCAGTTATGCTATCTGTACCTATGAATGGCCTCCACTTATCTAGTCACTTATGTTTTCTTCTCACAAAACTGGACAACAAGTACCATACATCTTCATCAACGAACTGATAAGCAGAAAACTGTGGTTGCCAGAGACTGTTATTTCTTTGTTTATTTAGTAGTGTGTGTGTGTGTGTGTGTGTGTTCGCACATGCACGCGCCCACTTCAGAGCAAGTACATGCATACACACATGCCTCAATGCATTTTTGCAGGGCAGAGAACAAACTTGTGCAATTAGTTCTCTCTTTCCAGCTTTACATGGGTTCCAGGAGTCAAACTCTAATTAAGTTTGAAGGAAAATCGTCACACACTGAGATACCTGGCCAATCCCATCCACCTTCTTAATGCAATATCTGATTGGCTTTTAGGAATTAAAGCACACCTGATTTGCAGCCATTTTCTCATTGACAAAGCCATCCACAGTTTCTCAGGAATGTGGTCAGCGAATGGAGCTTGACACTAATTAATTATAGAGGTCTGGAGGTCTGTACAGACAGACAGGAAGTGAGATAGCTGGGTGGAAACAGGGTATAAGCAGGGAGAAACAGGAAATAGCTCTCTAGTCTGCTGAGATGAGATGCTAAGGAGATAACATGCCATGATAGCTTGCTCCTCTCTGATCTCTCAGCATTTTTCTCTATATGTGACTCTGGGTTTTTATTACTTAGACCAATTAAGAACTCCACTTACACAAGAATGTTCTTTTATTTGCTCATAAAGATCTGCATGCTTCTGAAATTCTCTCCTTTATTTCTCTTATGGACAATTTTTCTTTAAAACTCATGGGTTTATGAGAAACTGCTTTATGCTTACATGCTGGAATAACCCACAGTATCCCAGCCATAAATGGCTCTTTTTATAATTTGGCGGGTACTTTAAGGGATGTATTTTCATCTCTTTGTCAGACTTTGCAGAATGTCCTAAGTATTAATATGTAATTCAAGTCCAGCCCTTAAATACACATTAAAGTAATGTTATTTTAGCTTAAAGAACTTAGAGCATAATGCATATTTCTATATTTTGAAGAATCCTAAGATTTAAGAAAAAAACAAAAAATCTCCCTTTAACTCAGTTAATCATTATCACTAACACCACATGAAAGACAAATTAGGGAAATAATGTATCTGACAAGCCATGCATAAGCAATAATTCACTAATTTAAAGTATCCAATAGTTTCCCTAGAAAGTCTCTTTATTCTCTCTTCCTCACATTTCTAGTCTCTTTTCTGAGCATGGTCTATTTTGATGAGTACTCCCATGCTCTCCCAGTTATTGCCTAGTATCCTCAATGGAATCCTCCTAATTACAGTTTAAAATTGACTACTAATGAAAGGCGAAAATGAATGCAGAGCAAGAGAGACAGGCAAAACAAACAAACAAACAAAAAACGTAAGCAAGATTCATCCAAAATATATAGAAAATACAAAAACTAAGGACACTCTAATGGATTATATGAATAAAATATTACATAGCACAATCTGGAGCAAGTGGTTCATGACAAAATGAATACTAGTTGATGGAATTTAGATATCTGTAGAAAATGAATTGCATTTTTTCTCCTTTTCCACTCTTGCTAGCTCATTTATAAAGTGATGAAAAGAGATCATTGCAAGTGCTGCTAAATGATGGAAGATGACTTCGGGGACGTGTTGAGCTGGCTCTCCGCTGCAGAATAATAGACGAATGCTGGAAGGAGCCCTGAGAGAGCAGTCAGGGAAGAGAGCTCAAAGCGGAAAGAAGCAGGTAAAAGACACCGTGTGGAAAGCGGGTGCTCTCTGGGAGACATTACAAGCATTTCTTCGAAGCATCTGCTTCCATGAACTCACTGAAATGGGACTGAGGAGTCTCCTCTTTGGAGCTTTTAATGCTGTTGTAAAATGCTGTTTCTCATTAGCACCTGCCTCTTCTGTTATCTCCTTAATTATGCTTCTGGTTCTTTTTCAGCAGCCCCCATGAGAGAATCCTGGAAAATCTTTTTTTTCAAGATTTGGGAGGGAAAGTTTAATATTAACAATAGGAAAAATGCTAGTCACTATAACACTTATACATGAATTCATTTATCAGTGTTTCTGGAGGAAAATGTGTAAGACTGGATAAGAAAAGGGTATTTATTAAGCCTTTGTTTGTATGTTTTGGGAAAGGGATAGGATAATAATATTTAAAAATTTCTATGTTTGAAATAGTATATTTAACATAGTTTCATTAATACAGCCACCATATTATTGGACAATAAAATACAAAACATATTTATCCTGTATCCAAGTGTTGTACCACTTAAAAATCATTGAGTGACCTCAAACAAAAGCAATTTTATTTCGTGATTCTGGAAATCCTGGCGTTAATCCTCCAAGCTCCATTTACTAATATAATGCAGTTGACCCCATTATGATCGACTCATCTGTTTGCAAAACAGAGATAATCAGGTTTTCTTACTTGTTTTCATGAGAGCTAAGTGAGAGAACCTACGTAAAGCACCCTACACAGATGAAGCCTGAATAAGCTTCCATCTTCTTGGTTACAAGTGTTGTGTAGCTGTTTCTTCCAGTTTGAAGCATTCCATTCCAGAAGGACGAGGGAGGCTTATAAAATTCAAGAAGCAAGTGTGACCTTTACAGTAGCAGAAGATTAGAAAGTTATGACCCTCCGGACTTCTTCTCAAGATTGTGGAAGTCATGAGCAAGTGTTGGGGTGGGGAGGAGAACTCTTTTTGGTGGAGCTGCTTATGAGATGGAAAGTAAGCTCTTAGATGTGGCTTTCATATGTCACCATCCATGATCAAGTGGGCTTTGCTATGGCATGATTGCATGTGACCACTTCTGCATCTGTATGCAATCTCTCATCCATGGTTCTGTAAGCAATCCCAAAAGGCCCATTAGTTCATGCAGCTAAACACAAGAACAGTCGTTTCTTCAGTCTGCTATTGGTACCCTATCTGGAGTGAGCAAAGACACTTCTCGTCTCCTCAAGAAAAGGCGCAGCAAAGGCTGTAGCTCTTGAATATTCTTTTCTGACAGTGAAGATTTGGAAGATTTTTTAAATTAGTAACAATAAAAAAGAAAAAAAGAGGGTCCTCTTTTTGACTGTGGTATACAGGAATGCTTCTTAAACATAATCTTTAATGACTATAATTCATACGATTTTGTTGAGTGAGAGGCATATAATATGAGATTTTTACACTAACACAAACTAGTTATTAATAGTAACTTTTAATACTCAATATTAATTAACATCTGAGGGTATTGTTGTTTTCTAGAAAATATTAAAAAGAAATTAAGAAATCTTTAATGTATACTCATTAGTCTTCTATTCCTGGGAGTTTCTTTTAATCTATTGCACATGAGATGGGATCATGTATCCCACATCTCAATAAACAAAACACACAATGAATTTAAAATCTAGCTACTTACCTTGTCTATTTTCTTCTTTCCATACCCCTGTCAGTTCCTGCAAGTCAAAAGGAAATAAAACCAAGCAGAACATAACTATTTTCATGTGATGTTAGATTATAATCAGTGTTGTTTTTTTATTATATCAGGATACTGATTATAATAGACAGTCAGGTGTACACTATGAACCAGAGGAAGCAGCACATTTCCCTATTACCTCTTGTTATGAGAAAATTCAAGACAATGCAGATAGATCAGGCTACACCAGGGAGAACTGCAAGGACTCTCTCATGAGCATGTTCTCATGAGAAAACCAGGAGAGCAAGAAAGCTTCAAGATAAGTAAATAAATCAAATGTTTTCATTATAAAATCCCCTTCAAAAAAACTAAATTTGATCTACTACATGATCCAGCTACTCCATCTCTGAGACTAAATCCAAAGAAAATGAAACCAGTGAGCTAAAGACTTATCTACTTCCCATGTTTATTCACACTGGATGAGAGAACAAATCATTTTATCTGCATATGGACTGTTGATTTGGTTTGAAAAGATGGTGCATGCTTCAACAATAAAAAAGAATAAAATTCTGTCAATCACAGCAAAATATTATGTTTAAAAACTAGAAATAAAAAAGCAGAGATTGTATAGTTTTTCCCATAATTGGAAGTTAAAATACTGATCTCAGTGCAGTAGTTATGAAAAGTGATTACAAAAAAATCAGAGAGAAGGGAAGTAAGATAATAAAAACAAAACAATCAGCAGGATAAAATTCTAGTGTCCTTCAGTACAACATGGTCACTGTAACTCACAGTATCCTTTCATGTATTTTATGAAGAACTAGAATTGAGGAGCTAGAAGACTTTAAATAAGGATGATAAGAAGAAAACTTATTATTTCATTAGTTCACATTGTGTGCTTGTAATGAAGTTTCTTGCTGTAACTTATAATTATGTATAACTATTTTGTATAAATTTTAAAAAACTAAAATGAATGCTTTACAAGGAAATACTTTTTAAAAAATAGCTACTGTTGGTTTTTTTAATATTGAGCAATAAAAGAGTAGAGCCAGTGCCTGTTCAGTACAGCCATGGGAAAACATTTTGAATGACCCAAACATAGTGGTACAGTGGAGAATAGTCTGTGAGTGAAAACATAAAACATGAGTCACTGCAGACTGTGAGCACTGAGGAGATGACTAGTTACTTAGAATACAGCCTTGAAAACTAGCCAAGATTAAAGCTGGAGAAAGACAAAAATAAGAGTTTCAGAACCATTTCAAGCAAGCCCAAATTACAAGTAATTCAGATCTACCATGAGGGGAAGAGGGACAATGCACATGGAGAGGAGGTGGCCAAAATTCTTAAAAATTAAGTAGAAACAGTAGATCCATAGATCCTGAAAAGGCCAGTAAGTCTCGAACACAAGAACAAAGAAAATCATACCAGGGTACATCAAAGTGAAATAATTTTATGAACAGATATTAAAATCTGTAAAGCAGCCACAGGCAAACTCCCACAGAGGAACAAGTTATATTTACTCTGTGGCAGGGTAAATCCAAGAACAGCAATATCTTTAAAATACTAAGAGAAGAAAAGTCAATAAATTCAAAACATGCTAAGAATAATGAAATAAAAATAGAAACTTTGCCATAGGTACAAAACTAAAGTGATTTTACATTTAAAAACTGTGTATGTGAATGGAATTACATAGAGCATGCACACATATGTGTGCACACATTTCTCTAGGCAAAAGGAAGATGACAGCAGTTGAAAATCTGTATGTGTAGGTGGAGAAGGAAGAGTGCTAGAAATGGCAAAAGATAGATAGATAGATAGATAGATAGATAGATAGATAGATAGATAGATGGATGACAGGTACATGTTTGATATAGATTGATAGATGATAATATAAGTAGACAATAGATACTTAAAATTTAGATAGATGATAGAAGATAGATAGATAGATTGATAGATGATAAATAGAAAAATAGAGATGATAGAGGAAATTTTCAATAAATTAAGAGTTATTTTAAAAGGTAATTGGGTGTTCAAAGCAAGTATAGTCATGTATTTAGTATCTAAAACTGCACAGACACAATGTCCACTCTGGAACATTCTGCCTTCTGGTATAACCTAACTTACCTTCATTTTGCTGTGCCCTGATATATTTCATATTTATTCTATGTTTTAGCCCAAACATAAACAAACAGAAGAAAATATGTATTCATCTAAAATTGAGGTGGACAGTTTTGTGATATGAGGTCCAATGCATTGTTGCAAAATGATTTTTATTTTAGTTTTATTTAGTTATGATTGACATACAGATATTTGAAGTGCACAACTGTAAGATTTGGTATTCTCAAAGTACTTTCTCTACCAAAATAAAGGAACATGCTCTCATAATTAAGATAAACATTAAGGTTCCAAAAGGTGATGTCTCAATTGCTCTAGAAATCAGAAGATGAAAAATTTGGCAGATATTTTGGGGGATAGTTTCTCTCATCCAACCAGCAAGTTATTTAAATTAGCTTTGTTACTTCTTATTCTTGTTTTTTTCCAATATGGAAAAAGGTGGCCTGCTTTTTAAATAGTATGAAAAGTCTGATATTTGACCCTGAGTGTGAGATAGAAAATAGTTCTACTGCAGTTCCCCAGAACTGGCAGAAGAGAGGGTTTCCTGGGAAGCTTACCTCCTGGAGGTACAGCAAGCAGGGTTTTAACTCCATTCCTGGAATGGCATTCTCAAGAAGCCAATACAAATACCCAGATGACTCCTCCCTCTCAACAGCTGGATTCCAGGAGTTCAGCTCAGTGCTTAGCTGTCAATTCTCTGCTTCTACTTCCATCACCTTCTGGATGAAGGCTCTATAGAGAAAGAGGAGTGATTAGCAAAGGGGTCAAGACCATGCTGGGGAAACCCACAGAAACAGTTGATCTGAGAAAGTGTGAGCTCATGGACTCTATCTAGACTGACAGCTGGGGAACCTACATAAGACTGAACTAGGTCCCCTGAAATGGGTGTCAGTGAGAGGCTTGGGCAGTCTATGGGGCAGCTAGCAGTGGAACCAGTATTTATCCCTAATGCATGAACTGACTTTTTGGAGCCCATTCCTTATGGAAGGATACTCTTTCAGCCTAGATTCAGAGGGGAAGGTCTCAGTTCTGCCCCCAAATCATGTGACAGACTTTGACAATCCTCCATGGGAGGCCTCATCCTCCCTGGGAAGTGAATGGGGGATGGGATGGGGGGTTGGTGGGGGAATAGGAGGATGGGAAGGAGAGGGAACTGGGATTGGTATGTAAAATAAGATTGTTTTTAACTTAAATAAAATAATTAATTAAAAATACACAGATGACACCTACATGCAGTATGGATGATATCACAGGAGGGCAGCCTGAGCCTGGAGACCTCAAACATTTTTGGTAGCAGAAAAGTATGTTTGCCCTTTGCTCTGAAAACTCTGTCCTCTAAATCTATACTTACACAAACATCAGTGGAAAATGTTCCCAGAACATTGGTCAGTATATGCCCCAAGATGTTCCAAGAAAATCAAGCAACACTAAAGCAATGTGAACTAGTAGTACAGACCCTTCACTATCCATTATCTTGACATCTGGAGAATTTATTTTATTCCCTGTTTTTTATTTAACTAAAATACAGTTGTATAGTTTGCACCATCACTTTCCTCACTCCAACTCCTTCTATATCCCCTGTTCCCCCTCAAAATTATGACCACAGTTTTTGTTGTTTTGTTGCTACAAGGGAGCGTGTGTGTGTGTGTGTGTGTGTGTGTGTGTGTGTGTGTGTGTGTGTGTGTGTGTGCGCGTGTGCTACTCAGCGCCATCTTCCAAAATGTCCCTGAGCATTAGGTCTAGGAGAGGTTTTGTAGATGACCCAGCTGTTCTTTTCTTCATTTTGACCAGTTGCATTCTATAACTGTCTCCATCTGTTCTGAAAACTAATTTCCTTTGGTAAGGGATGAGAGCTACACTTACCTGTGGATATGAGAAGGGCTGCTTTGAATGCAGTTAGCACTTATGCTGGTTTAGTAAAGTGGAAGTAGAGATTCCCCCTGAGATCCACTAGTGGTTAATTTCTCTCTTGTTGAGTTTGCCTTGAAACCAATCAGACAGCTGTTGGTTATGAACAAGAGATGAGTGCTGTTATTGCCTTCTGGTGATACCTTGTCATGGTGATCGTTTGGGTTTGCCAACTTTACAGCTGTGTAGATCTGTTGGCTGCTTACCTCCTTAGAAAGTTGCAAAGCATCTTCTCACAATATGAAAGCTAGTCGTTAGGGAGGAGGCTTTCAGGTCAAACCCAGCTCAGATCCACAGAGTCCCGTTTCCACAGAGCATGGTGTCTTTAGCACTAGCAACTTACCTTCTACCTCTGAGGCAATAGCCTATGTTGTTTTAGGAATCTCTTCTAACCACCTGGAAATGGGGTTTCTAATGTACAGTACTATGATTTGTTAGCTGGCCTGTCTCATAGACAGTATTTTTAGCCCAAGTGGGGTAGTCTCACTCTAAATACATATGTATATATAAATAGACACACTTATACATTTACATATACCTTTAGGTGAACAAAAAGTATGGCAGCTTATGATTTTATTCAGACATTCTTAGTGTTATTTGCTCTCCTCCCTGCCTTTCCTTCAGTGTTGATCTCCCTACCCCAACTTAAGCTCTCCTCCCCAGTTTTCCTGTTCCCCTCTTCAAATCATATACACCCAACTATTTATCTTGCTAATGCTCCTCTCACCTCCTCCATGATGTCTTATTACTTTCCTGATTCTGCAGTTACTCCAGTATACATACTCATATCTGAGACTTTGGAGCTAAGAACCGCAAATGTGGACAAGAACATACACTGTTTACCTTTCTGAATCTGGATTACCTCACTCAATCTTATTATTTTCTAGGTCCATCCATTTACCTACATGATTTTGTTTTTCTTTACAAATGGGTGGTATCCCACATATTCCATTTTCAATTACTCAGTTGAATAACATTAGGTTGTTTCACCAAGTTGAACATTTTACCATTTCATTGGTCATTCTTAACTATTTGACTCACATACAACCTAAACAAACCCTTTTGGTATGTCACATAAAAAATCTAATTAATGCAACTTATCATAGGTTGAAAATAATTTACAACAAAGCCCAAGGGGTCCTGGAACCGAATATCTAATGTCATAAATTAATAGGGTCTGCCTTTGAATGAATGTATTAATCTGTCACAGCAGGCATGCCAAAGTACTGTAGACTGGGTAGATTAAATAACAAAACATTTTTTTCAAGTCCTGAAGTTCAGAAGTCCAAGATCAAAGTTAAGTTCTAGAGAGGCCATTTCTCCTAAGCCTTCTCCTTGGTTTAGAAATTATTGCTCCCCCTGCCCCTACATGATCTGTCTTCTGCACATGAATTCTCAGTGTCTCTATCTTAAATAAGGATCTCTAGTCATATCTTAGGGTATCACATTGATATTAGTATTAGTGAAGTTTCTTCTAAAAGCCTCACTTCCTTGCTTATATATGGCTGTCTTCACATGGTGCCTTTTTTATTTGTGTCTGTGTCTTTGTTTTATAAACACATAACCAAATTGAATTATGGCTCATGTTGAAGCCTTACTTAGCTTAATCATTTATTTAAAGAACATATTTCCAACCTTTAAGATTCCATGGATTAGGGCTTTAACATACAAATCTGGAGGAGATGCAATTTAACTTACAAATGAGGTATCATTTTATTTGACTATATCTCTTGACCTTTGTTTGGTCTGAGGCAAGTAACAAGATAAACAAATAATTAAACTCTATTCATTTCCCTCGAAGATTATTCTCTCATCTATAGCAATCCTAGCCCAAGAGTTAAGTTTAATCCTAATGCCTTCCAGGACTTTAGCTAAAGCCAAAGACAAATTTCTCACCATTCTTTTCAAACAGAATGACTCACATTTATACAAACTGCCAACAAAGGACATGTCAAAGTCTGTCTCAGAAACTCTCCAGAGAAAACAATGTAGAGTGAGTTAAAGGAAACTCTACAGTCATCTGAGGATAGATTTCGTTAAATGCTAATGGTCTCATGAAACCGTGTACATTTAGCCGCATTTTCAGGAAGGAAGCAAACAAATAGGAAAGTACAAAAAGATTAATCCCAAAGACACACAAGCTGACCCTGGAAAGAAAATGTTTACAAATGTCCCTCATGTCATTGGGAAAACAGATTAATATGTTTAATATGGCCTCTTACTTGGCTGATGCACGTTAGGGTTCCCAGTTCTGATTAATTCTGTGTATTTGAAGGGATTGTGTCAGGAAAGTTACTTCACAAAAACATGTTCCCTTGTACCAGAAAATGTATAGCTGTGGAGGTACAGATAATGATACATGGGACTAGGTTAAAATGCAGCTTAAATATAAATTTGTTTCGGGGAGAAGTCACATAAGAAGCAAATGTCTGTCACAGGTTTCTGCCCTATGGATCCACATAGGCTCTCTGTGACCTGACCAGATGCAAGAGAGAGTTGGGATTCTGGATCCCAGATCTAATCCTTGTTCCATCATGTTTTCACCTGTGACCACACCCCCACACCCAAACAGGCATGGTGGTCAGTGCTACACTTTTGGGTGGGGTGGATATCTCAACACAATTCCCCTTTTAATCTAAAAGAAAAATATTTAGGTTTGATATGAATCTATATACAAAGACAACAAATATCAAGTATGCTCTGGGAAAGGAAAGGTAAGAACAAACACTCTTAAGACATACCACTAGTGAAGCAACAAGAGCAAATGGCAAGGACTACACATCCAGTCCTAGGGTAAAAGCATAACAGAGACTAGTGTAGAGTTGTCCTAAACTGGAAAGTTTAAGTCTTGTATCTAATATTTCTATCTAGGAATAAAGAACAATAATTGGGACAGTCTAATCTTCAACTTCATCATAAACCTGAGAAGGGTAGGCAGGAAGTGTAGGCGAGCAACTTCCAAAAGGTGCAGCAAAAACAGAAACAGCAGGCTATGTGAACAGTCACCCAAAATCTCATAGCAGCATAGGGGCAACAAGCTTTAGCTAAGGCCTAGAGCATCTGACTGACAAACACAGAAGCAGGGAGTTAGAAAGGCTGTCTTACCCTGACTTGACAAGGTTAAGCAGTCTAATTTTATCTCCTGTAAGCACAGTAGGACAGAATGTTCAACGTTAGTGGTGGAGATGGAGGCAGTTCTTTGCCCAAGAGGCCATTAGCTGAGGGGAGAATTGACTCCAGAAGGAGAGACATCAGAGTCCAACAATGGAGTACTAATATTAAAACATCTAAATGTCATATTGTTCAGGTATATGAAGTGTTTGAACTTCAAATATCTACGTCTGACTGACTAATCTCATAGATAAGAACATGTGTGATAAAAGCTTGTAATTATCAGAAGCATAGTTGTACAATGGCTGAAGCTTCCCAAAATAATTTAACCCGGACAATGACTTCAAAAAATGTAACTGTGTACATATATATATATATATATATATATATATATATATATATTTCTCAATAACAGAGACAGAACTGAAATATCTTGACTAGAGGCAGAACTGTAAAGTGCAATATGATAAAATATCCTAAGTTGTATCAATGTACAAAATGTATATACATCAAGATAGTTTTATATTTGTGTGCAAAACATTGTAAATAGAAAGAAGACCCTAAACAGCCAACATACAATAATCTAACAATTTAAGTTATCTATAACTAACAATTGCTAAAGTTAGCTCATTAGAAAATATGTTACTCTACCAATATCAC